CTTTTTCTTCTTCTGCTGCTGCTGCTGCTTCTATTTCTCCAGCTCCTTCTTCTTCTCATCCTCCTCTTCTCTGCCGTCGTCTCCGTCTCTTCCTCCCCCTTAGTCTTCTTCAGTATTTCAAGCTCTTATTACAAAAATACTATAATGATATGTTTGTTATCTTGCCATTTAAGCTTTCACAAACAGTGTTTGTAAATTAACAAAATTTATTGTACAAAAATTACATTACTTCGTTAAAATTGTGGCTTCACTGGTGCGACCCTAAGACGTAAATGATGGTATTTCAATCTCTTCCAACCAAGATTAGTTTGACCAAATCTAAACAATCTTCTTTTCCTGTTGCTATTGACTGTCAGGGTCTTGCATGGCTATGAGATGTCGGTTGTTGTTGTTGTTGCAGCGGCACATGAGCTTTCGCCCTTTGGCCCAATGCCATGTAGTAGAATTTGCATGTTTTCACAAGCTGTTCTTTTCCTCCGTACAAGGTGTTCCACTTGTCTGGTCTCTGAGGGAGTAGCGTTCTTCTTGTCTCACTGAGTTTTGGGCACTCAAAGAGATGGTGTTCAACAGTTTCGTAGGGGTAGTTACATAGCTGGCACTCTGGGGAGTGTTGTGGCTGTATTCTGTTTAGGTGTCCATTGAGTGGAGTATGTTGCGTTCTAAGTCTGATGAGATGTCGGAGTATGATGATAGTAAATTCGCTGGCTAGCACTAAGTTAACCGCATGTTCCATTGCCCACGGAGACCTTGACCAAGACTGGCGAGGGATGAATTAATCACTCCCGAGTCCACGAGATTCTCACGGACTGGTCAGTGAGCGGAACGACTGAACAAAAAGGACGGCCAGACGGGTATGGGGGGAGGTGTGGACTAGACAGTGTTGTGTCGAACGGTAGATGTTTCGGTGTTTGACTTCAATTAGCGACAGGTATGTTGGTGTTAGGGTGTTGCTTAGGAATAATTCCTGTGTTTGTTTGTATTGGTGAGAGGTAAGTTATTGTAATTAAATATACCAGTACTTATTTATGACTTTCTCTATGTAGTAGCAAGGTGGTTTGCGAAGGGTTTGTTTGGTAAAGTGACATTTACTGTCCATTCACCCTAACCAGAGCCGTGCAATATAGTGAAGTATACATAAGCTTCCAAAAGAGCTTGTAAGGGAGGCTGTTGTTTCGGACACTGTTTAGAGCCGTTAAGGCCGGTAAGGTACTGTTAGGGCAGGTAGGTGACTGTGCTGGTAACACGAACCACTTTCACCCAGGTGAACTGCCGTATTGCTTATTGTACATTATATGAAAGACTGATGTGTATGCTTTGATGCTGTTGGCTTAGTTGTGCTTCGAGATAGACATTCCTGTCATGTATCTGCTCATAGCAAGTTGCTTTGACGGCAAAAAGCAGGTTCTTGCCATTGACCCATATTGCATTCATAAGACGCCCCTCCCCCCCACCCTTTTCCCCCTTTGTGATCGGTGTCATACTAGAGACAACATTGTGGATATAGATAATCTATTTCAAGCGAACGTAACAAGAAGAAGGTCTGTTGCTTTTCTGCCCATGGTATTCCATGTCAGTTTACATTCTTAATTTCCCATTCCTGCTTCTTTCTCCTGGCTTCCTAGGTTGATCACGTCACCTTTTTCCTTCTGCCATGCGTAGGTGTCCTTGGCAAAGTGTTGCGTGGCAAGAATATCCAAGCCATCTCCACCTTCTTTCTTTGATAACGTTCGCCAGTGACGATGAACGTTTGGTTCTCCTTTCAGTTTTAATGTATGATCTTGCTGGGCTAAACTATTCACACAATTCTCTCTAGATGTTGACTGTGAAAAATCTCTGTGTTTAATTGCTGCAGTAATTTGACAACTCTTTGCCATCGTCAGTTAGCAGATCCTTGCAGAATACCACTCTCGTCACGGCACTCATGGAAGTCTCTTTTTCTTTAGCCAACTCCCCAGCCCTGTGTGCTTTTATAGCCAGTGTTTCTTCAGTGTCCTTATCCACGTTCGCGAAGGTCTGCCTCTGCTTCTTCTTCTTAAAACGGTCTCCTCCACCAGGCATGTGACGTTCAACATGGCCAAAATAGCTTTAGGGACAGAATGCTGCATGCAAGCCAGATTTGACTAGATGCTAAGTGTAGGATGTCGCTGTTTGTATCTTCTTGGTTCATGATCCGAGTATTGTGCGGTGTACAGGGTGACCATTTGATAGCCGCTGATGAACGCCGCGCTAAACAAGTCACCTGCCAGACATGCATACTACTTGGTCAGAACAGAAGGACCAGGGTAGGATTTTGGGAATCACTACAGACATGGAACAACAATTAAATGCAGTTAAAAACAAATGATGGATTAGTGATTAGTGAGGATTGTCATCACAGTACTCCGGACAGATCTATGGGTATTCAAGATCGCCTCCTCAGAGTGTAAAACAACTTTTGACGCCTGATCTGTGGTGATTATTAAAACGTTTTGTCCACTAGGTGAATTCCCTGATTAAGAAGGTGAGAGGGGGGGGGGGACCTCGACGGATAACAGAAAACCGAGAGAAGCCAAACACTCGGAGAAAACGGGGTTCTCAAGGAGGTGAGAACGACCACGTGGAGCACACCACATGGCTATAATTTCAGACCACGTTCTGATTAGACAGTATGTGTTTGCCAGTCAGAGTGAGAGGACGTGTTTGTGATTCCGTATGAATGTGAAGAATACCTGATGACGAAAGAGAATACTTCAAGACGACAGATCGAATATCATCTTCAGCAACAAACCAGCTACGCAGGTAATCAGCAGCTACTCAGAGTCAGCGGCGAGAGACCACAAAGGAAACGGCTGAAGTCACGTGTCCAGAGATGTGGCGTGGACGGTGGAACACTGTCACGTGCTTGTGTGTGAATGCTCTGAACGTTGCCGTCTGAATGCGGGTGCGATTGAATGTTGGACTTGATGAAGGATCAGGGACAAGGACTGGACATATTCGTGAGTGCAATATTGTCAATAAACAGTGTTAACATGCAGATGTCTCCTCTGCTTATAACATCGGTATCAACGTACATTGTTGGTTCTACCATCTGTCAGAGCACATCCCTAGACAACAGCCTAAGACACTAACAAAGGAACATTGCAGTGAAGTGTTCATTTCTTGTAGTCCCAGGTTGCACCGCCATGTCCATCAGTCTAGACAGGGACACGGAGTCATGCCCTTTGCTGTATTCATCCTTCGCGGTAAGTGCTTCGCATCGATAACATCACTTCTGTCCACTACCGGACCAGCCATGGCAATCGTAGCGTCTGCAACATAATCACGCTTATTGCATCTAACACCCGCATTCCCCGTGTAAAGATGGTTAGGCTAGCCCAGTGGTCGGCAAACTCTTTAGTTGAAAGAGCTACAAATAAGCAGCAGGACGATTCAATTTTGTTGAGATCCAAATTTCTTTTTAAGAACCTGTCAAGAACCATGTTTTTTTTTTTTTTCGGAGTCAAGACCGATTTGTGGCCGACTGGCCGAGCCGAACTCAGGTTGCTAAAGAGCCGCACGCGGCTCGCGAGCCGCTACTTGCAGACCCCTGGTCTAGGCCACCCATTAGTGAAGTGCTTATTGATACAATCAATTCTTGTCTGATGAACCCAGCTTGGATTTTCGTAAACATATTCATGGAGTCACTAAGTTTGCACGCGTGTGCACGTAGCAAATATGCACGTAGCAAATGTGCAAGTATGCAATTAGCCAGTATGCAAGTATGCTGATGTAGCAAGTATGCACGTAGCAAGTATGCAAGTAGCAAGTATACACGTAGCAAGTATGCTGATGTAGCTAGTATGCACGTAGCAGGTATGCTGATGTAGCAAGTATGCACGTAGCAAGTGTGCTGATGTAGCAAGTATGCACGTAGCAAGTATGCACGTAGCAAGTATGCACGTAGCAAGTATGCTGATGTAGCAAGTATGCACGTTGCAAGTAGCAAGTTGGCATGCACGTAGCACGTATGCTGATGTAGCAAGTACGCACGTAGCAAGTAAGCTGATGTAGCAAGTATGCACGTAGCAAGTATGCAAGTAGCAAGTATGCTGATGTAGCAAGTGTGTGCACGTAGCAAGCCATGCTAATGCCATTGTTGCAGCCACAGTTTTCATTGCCAAAGTGCTAGCTGTAACAGCAAGAGTGTCATTAATCTCCTTGATGTTGGATAGCATTCTCAGCACGTCCCATACACCATGCGCCTCTTTTCAACCAATTTTTTTCCCTGAATGATTCCGCATGAAGCGGTTGTCTGGGATCTGACTTTACCTTGAGAAAAGCGGATTCCCAGGATAGCTTGATTCTGTTATCAATTATGGGGAAATCATAGAGGCCTCTTATCATATTATACTTATAAATTAAGTCATCCAACCGTGGAATGCAATTGTTTGTTTTTTGAAGCCCCACCCTGGCGTCTGCCTAGGGCCCTGAATATAGCCGGGCCATAAACACGGCCTAGCAATAAATATGGCCTAAACGGCTGAAAGGGGCTTTCTAGGACCTCTCCACGGGTGATCCTCAAACGCATGTGGCACTTTGTGTCACCGGGTGATTGACTCTTGTGTGATGTCCTGGTTGGGTACAACTACCAACCTACCTAGAGGCCTAGCATGGTTTTGATGAGAAGGGTACAACTGTAGTGTGTCATGACAAGGAGAAAGGGAAAGAAATCTAGAGGAAGACCAAGAGAGAATATGCTGGACAGATTGGCGGTATAACATTTAAAAAAAAACATCATCTGAAACAGAAATAGCTGATAGTAAATTAAACAGAAAGCGACCCACAAACGTAATTACCAACTCCACGTGACGTGAAAAATAAAAAGACAAACTCTAATTTATATTTTTTCCCATTTCTGTCACTTGTCCAGTGACTGCTTTCTTCCATGGCAGAGATTTATTTTACGATTCCGCCAGTATATTTTCTGTTTCGATAATTTGTCTGTGCCATGGTCGGTAGTCTGTTTTATCTAGTCTGTCTTCTCATTGGGCGTCCTGAATGCCAGGGAAGTCCGCTTTCAAAGACGTGGAAGCCGTGCTGTTGTTTTTTGCCAGATTGGATGCCCTTTTGAACGCTCTACTTTTCCAAAACAAGTAAGCTGGTTGGACCAGGGAAATTAATCCGGTTATACCAAGAAAGCCAAATACCTGAAATACACCAAATATTGTTGTTAAAAATATGAAAACCTCTAATGATTTACTGTTAAAGAACAGAAGATATCAGTACTTTTTCATCATCACACCACTATCAAATTAACATGAGATGCAGTTAAGCAACACAACTATTGGGATAGCTAGACCCCCACGACCACGCCCATCTGTATCTTTCTAAAGATGGCTGTGCCCACGACCACCTCACAACCCCCCCCCCTTTTTTTTTTTTTACAGGTTAAGACAGTTCCGATCAACACAAAGAAACATCTCATACAGAGCCTATTCATTCCCACTCTATGCTACCAGTGCCAGACATGGTCACTCGCAATAAACCATAAAGGAAAATTAATAACCAGAAGAATGATATGTATGAGAAAGGCTGCAGGAGTGACTAGATGATTTAAAATTAGAAAGGCGATAAGAGAAAAGGTCGTCACAGAACCATTTCTAATGACACGCATAGGAAGTAAATCTAATGGTTCGCCTATTTAAAATGTCTTGCTACGATATACCATACAGTGCTTATATCAAAAGAGACGGAAGTAAAGCACATAGTGGAAACATAACTCCAGAAAAGAAAATCTACACCACCATGATGTGCCTATGGTCCAAGGGGCCGGGAGACCAAGAAGCAGAACTTTATATCTCCCTCGACACCCCATTATCAGCACACGCAAGGTCTTTAAACGTAGGTTGTGATCAACCGTCTTGAATCAAGCCTGTGTTCTTGCTTTGATTTTGTCACGTGATCAAGACATCCACATTATCTCTGCGTCTCCTCCATTGCCCTTTTGTCATTAAATTTACCAGTTGTCACTAGATTTGCAAATCCATTTATTACCATCTTCTTCTTTAAGTCTAAGCTGTGTGGGGTTGGCAGTCATGTCTATCCAAACCTTATGTCTGGTGTACTTTCACTCAACTCTGACACAGATGATCCTCCATGCCATGATGTCAGACTGACCAGCATCTTTTCTTTCGGTCTCCCTCTGCTTCTCACACCTCCAGCTTTCCTACTGTCACTATGTACTCCAGTTTTCTCCTTCTTATCACATGGCCAAAAAAATGTAGATTGCCTCTTTCTGATGTGGGCAATCAGTTCTCTTCGTGAGTCACTTTCTTCCAAGACGTCTTCATTACTCTTTTATTTCTTCTGTGCAGTGTATTTTCATAGAAAGATTCTCAGAATATCTTGGACAAAGAAGAGGAGAAATACTGACACCTTGAAAGATCTGAACATCAAGGAAGATATTCTAATAAACAGCATTCTGTCTCGGAAGTTGAAATATTTTGGTCATATCAAGCGCCATGACATATTGGAAAAAAAAAATTATAGCAGAAGGCATGGTACCAGGAAGGAGGGGCAGGGGCAGGGGCCGACCGACACAAAGATGGGCACATGATATAAGTGACTCTTTGAGTATGAAAGTATATGAGATGGGAGAACTGGTGAGAGACCGAGTTTCTTTCAGGCAGACCGTGATGAGAGCGACATTCTGCAAAGGACCTGTGACATGATGATGATGAGTGTATTTTCATCATTCGTCTATAAAACCACCTCCCCACAGCTACCGAATAATTTTTCACGAATCTAAAAACTGTCCCTGATTCACTTCCGTATATCAAAATGCAATTTATGTAGCTTTTAAGATTTCCCTTTCTCGTCTCAATTGACAAAGAAAGATTGGATAAATCCTTTATTTTGTAAAACGCTGTCCTTGCTTGAGCTATTCTATATTTAACTTCAATTTGATGTTATCAGGGTACCCATGTACTTAAACATATCAACTTGCTAGAGGTTATCACCATAACATGTCCAAAGATATAGATTGTTATCAGTTTTTGTAATCAATAGCAGATGTTTGTCTGTTGAATGAAAGTTTGAGGTTTGAACAACGGATGAACATCATGGCGCACCGGTAGTAATTCATAAGTGCTCTGTTTTTCTTTTAACTTAAGTCTGAGTTCAAAGGCTCTGTAGCACCGGCGAGGATCCTGAAAAACTTTGGGTAGGTTTTTAACTTAAAATTTTGCCCGGGCAGCGCCGTTAGGCTACTCTTTTCGATTTCCAACTGCCAGGGGATTTTTTTTTTTAAGTGCGCAAGAATGCACACGGGCGTCCGATCTAACTACCCAGAAACTGAGGGGAATTACTAAAAGTCCAGGTCCACGTGAAAAAATTTCAACCCTTACCTGGGATTGAACCCGGAACCTCTAGCACTCGAGGCGGACATCATCCATCGAGACCGTGCAGCCCCTTGAACGAAGGACTGTCTCATCTGGGTTTTTGTCTTGTTCTGGTATTCTTTACACTAAAACAACAGCCCACTTCTGTTAGATGTTTCCCAGCTTGTCTCAGTTTCTTTCTCATGGTTTACAAAATGGGATAACGTCGAGTGCACTGAAATGGGCCATCTTGACTTTAGAACTTTACTAAACCTCTAATTCTATCAGTATTTTTGTATTATCTGTAGCAATATTACATTCATTGTTTTTTTTTTCTTTTTTTCTTTTTTCTCTTTACATGATTTACAATATTTCTTATATACATTTACAAAAGCAAATGTCGACACAGAACCTATCATCATTTACATACAAAGGCAACACAATCAAATGGTGTGCCAACTTACAGAGAATGCCCTGACAACGCCAAACCACACACGGCATACGTTAAAAGAAAAGAAGGGTGAAGATCACGAGGTAGACCAAGATCAAGATGAAAAGAGCAACTCTACTGCCGAGGCAGCCAGAAGAACAAAAAAAAAAAAAAACAGAACCTTTTGTCTCCCTTGATACCCGAAGACGAAGAAGCAGAATTATACGTTTTACATGTTCTGTGACCTACCTCCACCCAAGCTTGGTTCCGGTACTGTATCCATAGAAACAGCGGGTACTGGAGGAAGCTGAGACCGCCAGAGAGAACTGACATGATCCCACATAAAATCCCAAAGAATTGGGTCGGGTACCTGAGGAATAGATTCATCTAGTTTGTCTTTTCTTTATTTTAGTCTTGAGAATAATCTTGAATGTTCAACTGGTACATTTGCTTAGTCTTAGTCTTGGCCATAGTCGAGGTTTTTAACTTAATTGCAATCGTGTTCCCCATACTTGCTCCGTTTCTGTGCCAGGGAAAATCAGATGAAATGTCCCTCTCTGTCACATTTGAAAAACTGATCAACAAACAATTAGTCCCAGCACAATCCAGAAATATTCCCACGCAGTTAATGCATATGCCAGTTGCTAGAGACGCCAAAGCCAACAGTCGCCACCAGAAGTGCAGTTTGTCGGTGATTGAAGTACTCGGGCACGATAAGCTGACTATACACACGAAGATTTATTGCATAAGGTATTTCGCCAGCCCACACATAAACCGGCTACCGGCCGTATTGGATACTACGACTCAACCGCTGCACAAATGAAAGGATTCCTCAAGAAAAACACAGCTGACAGGGCTGTCAGGAGCCAGTACTAAACTCAGTAGCTCAGGCAGCGAACCCGTAGAATACCGTCCATATTTGAAAACTGCATTAGTAAAGCGCTGTCGAAAGCAAAAATAACTTCGAAGCTAAACATTTTGCCGTGCCTAGTCCTCCATTTTAGACCGGAAGTCTCCACTGCTTTATCTTCCGTGAAACTGACAGCAACACCTCTGGTCACTTCTCAATGTTTAGTATCTTGCGTTGCATTTTCCATCATAGCGACTTCCGCTGATGTAGACTGATGTCTGTTTTTCGCCTTGTTCTGTGCGGCTCCGTGGTTTAGAAGTTAGCCAGTGCTGTTCATGAGGTTCGGTCTTCCCTGTGGACGGTTTAAAAAATTGTTCTCTTGTTTTTCTATCAGTCGTACGAGAGTCGGACCGTGGAAAAAAATTGGAACCTCACATGTAACATTCCCAAAGACAGCAATGGTACACTTGAGAAGGCAGAGACTGTTTTTTTTTTCTTTCCGTCTTCCTACTATTGATACTATTGATGCTCATTTAAGACATTTTTCTGATTTCTCTGCCTTCCTTGCGGTGTCCGTGGCTTAGGCATTGCGAGTCCGACTCGTAATTCCAACGTACCGCGATCGAAACCCACTACTGGCTACGTGGATTTTTATCATGGCATGGGGCGTCGCAGGTCGACCCAGCCTTAAACGGGTACCAGGATGGCTGTCCTGGGAAAGTAAAGACTGCCGGCGTAATGCTGACCACATTACCCACCCAGTGCCGATTGGTCTGTAGAAATACGGGACGCTCTTCCCATATGCCCGATGCACCTAAAGCGTGTAAAAGGATCTTTACTTACTTTTTACTTCGGCCTTTCTTGAATACATCAAGGGAGAATGAAGATTGATTTGAGTATACTATCAGGACATATGCAATTGAAATTTAGAGACTAGAAAAGTCTAAGACGAAAAGACTGATTGGCCAATGCTGTAACAGCAGAAGAACATGGACTGGTAATTGTGTGATCTGCCAAATTACGATAGCCAGCGCTTATCGACGTATCACACGATGATAATGGTGATGGTCTGGCATACATACAATACTATTTTTTTACTGTTAATATTGCCTCTGGGCTCGCCATGACTGTCCATGGTCGCCATGACTGTCCATGGTCGCCACGACTGTCCATGGTCGCCATGACTGTCCATGGTCGCCATGACTGTCCATGGATATCGTCGATGCATAATGAGGATAATGTAATATCATTTATTGGTGCTTTATTAATATCCTACCCTAAAACGGAGAAATCCACAGGTCACGGGACAGTCTAATATTTCAGATCGTGGTATTTGGCTGCATGCAGTCGTGGGACCTAGGCTGCATTTAGTCATGGGACCTAGGCTGCATGCAGTCGTGGGACCTAGGCTGCATACAGTCGTGGGACCTAAGCTGCATTTAGTCATGGGACCTAGGCTGCATGCAGTCGTGGGACCTAGGCTGCAGACAGTCGTGGGACCTAGGCTGCATACATCGTGGGACATAGGCTGCATACAGTCATGGGACCTAGGCTGCATGCAGTCGTGGGACCTAGGCTGCACACAGTCGTGGGACATAGGCTGCATACAGTCGTGGGACCTAGGCTGCATGCAGTCGTGGGACCTAGGCTGCAGACAGTCGTGGGACCTAGGCTGCAGACAGTCGTGGGACCTAGGCTGCAGACAGTCGTGGGATCTAGGCTGCATACAGTCGTGGGACATAGGCTGCATACAGTCATGGGACCTAGGCTGCATGCAGTCGTGGGACCTAGGCTGCATGCAGTCGTGGAGCCTAGGCTGAACTCTCTCTCTCTCTCTCTCTCTCTCTCTCTCTCTCTCTCTCTCTCTCTCGTGGGACGTTGGAAGGGTTGGGGTTAGGGCCAGTTCTAGATGTTTTGAGGCCGTTAAAAGCATCAGAAAGCCGGGAAACCCAGTCTTACCACCTTTTAAAATGTTGGACTGTTCTGTGACGTCATCGGGGGGGGGGGGGGAGGGGGGGGGGGGATAAGATAATAATAAAGCACCCATTTTTTCATTTATTCATTGTCCTTTTGTGCCATTATGTGCCAAATAGGGATCACAGTCATTTTTTTTTCTAATCTAGGCTATCCTATGCAATCACTTCCATTCCATGGATGGAACAAGTCCAGAAATTTTGGCATCTCTCATCAACGTTCACTTCAGTGTTTCTTTAGAAAGCCCTTGTTTCCTCAATGCCCCAGTTTCCAATCTCAGTGTTGGTTTGCGGATTCTTAATTCGTCCTTTCTCGGAATGTGTCCAACACAGAGCAATCTTCTCTGTCTTAAACTGTTGATGCTAGCGGTGCCCAGACATTTCTTCACCCCTCTTGAATTCATCCCATCTTAACAACGATGACATAAAATACTACATAAAATGCCAAAGGACATGACTCAGTATCTCTGTCTAGACTGATATACATGGGAGGCAGCCTGGAGCTACAAGAAATGAACATTTCACTAAGAGGACAAGAAGTTTCATTAACCTACACAGAACAGGCGTCATCAGTCGTTTTACACTTGTGGAGCTTTTGAGGGGGAGATCGGAGCACCTATAGATCTGTCCGGAATGCTGTGATGAAAATCCTTCCTAATAACAAATCAAATAAAATACTATTTCGACACATCTCAAAACTCACATGATGCGCAGAAAAGCTGTACCACAACTGTAGAGACCTGTTCTAAAGATGACCAGGGCTATACTCGTGACCACGATAGCGTCGTTGGCACAAGTCATAAACAAGCCGCAGAGGAGGACGCCCAGGAGACTGGTCACTCCCAGGGAGACAGTGGCGGTGTGCAGTGTCCGTATGTCTTCTGATGATGTGTCTGTAGAAAGGTTGACAAACACAATAAAGATACAACAAATACGTTGGTATTTTTAGATAGTTAATCTTTCCCCTTGAGCCTAGGGCGGTGCATATGGCAGAGGTCATAGCTCTCTATGTCTCCCGATCCGTTGCCACCTGTTTTACGTCTTGAATGTTTGTTAGGCCCGTGGCTGGGCCTTCTATGATGATGGCTCTACGCAGGGTCTTACTTGGTCTTCCTCGTTTTCTTTTCCCTTTCGGTGTCCGTATGAGGGCTTGGTGGGGAAATCTTGTCTTATCTATTGTGACCGCATAGACGATGTAGTTCCATCAGCGCTTTCTTTTAAAATTGGATACATTGTCTTACTTTTTCTCTTGTCTTATTTGCGTATTGGATGTGAAATATGTCCGGTGGAGATTCAATATTCTTCTAAGACATTTGTACTCACAATTTTCTAATTTTTTAAATCTACAGCTGCCATTGCTTTCCAGCTATCGCATCCATAAGTTGGTATATTTACTAATTCCTATATAATCAAAGCTAGTAGTGTTTGTTTTATATTGCTCTTAAACTTGGAACACAACTAAAAGAAATGAAACCTTGTTACAAATTATTGAAAACAGTGCTACGACGTATGTGTGGACCCATCAAAGATGCAAGCGGCGAAGAATGGAGAATAAGAAGCAAGGAAATGCATAATCTATTTAAATCACCGTTGATCAGTGGACTCATGAGAGCTATTATTCTGAAATAGCTTGGATATTTAGAGAATGTCTCACGACAGAGAGGTATAGACTCTATACACATGGAAGCTGAATCGATGTAGATGACGAGGCAGACCAAGAAGAATATGGAGAGATAATATCCAGACAGACCTACAAACACTTCGTGTCAGCAGTTGAAAATAGAAGGCCAGCAAGAGAGAATAGAGGAGACAGGTGATATCTGCAGCAATGAACCTCAAGGGCTCGGAATGCTTCTTTCTCTTGCTAATTCGTTGGGTATAAATCCCGTTGAGAGAAGTGCCAATCAGTCAAACATGCATACTCATGTGCACACCGATACATACACACACGCACACACTCTCTCACATATTGGCACACAGTCTAACTCACACACCGACACACACACACACTCTCTCTCTCTCTCTCTCTCTCTCTCTCTCTCTCTCTGTCACACACACAAGCAAAACCACTAGAACCTACCGCCGTCTCTCACTTTCTTCATGGCGTCCATCCCAAGACCAATAAGTAAAGCCAGTAGCGGACTTCCCAGCATGGAGTAGAACAGGACATCTGTAAATTCGCTGACTGTCAAAATATAATAAAAAGTCACTATAAACGAATTCGTTGATCTTTAGGATTCTATCGTAGCATTCAGGACAAGTCAATAAGTCACTAAATGACCCTTCCTATTAGAGAGAAAGGACGACCAGAGGATTTTTGGAGTAATAGGTCTCATCAGGACTAGGGATGGGAGTGTAAGGGATAAGCATCGGCACAGACAGACCTGAGAGGCAAAGACACCCACGAGAGGCACACCGGACGTGCAAAAAGTCTTGTTAAAACACACAGGACTGTCACTATTCACAGTAGGGCGCTGAGGCTGATGTATATGTTCAAGGAGAGATCTGAGCATATATGGACGTATGGTAAGACGTTAGAGCTTCGCCAAGAAACTGATGCTCAAAAGGAACTCGTGAGTTATAATAGCTGGAGCTGGACACCGCTGCAGTATAATATCTCAAACGCTTTTAAGGAAACCTTGAAGTCCTCACTCAAAGCATTTGGGATTAATGACGCCTATTGGGAGGCTGTCTCTCAAGACCGAAATGCATGGCGTGCAGCTCTACACAAGGGCGCGGCTTCATGTGAAGCAAACAGAACAGCAAGCCTGATTAAGAAAAGGATGGACAGAAAGGCGACTACAGGAGATTCACTCCCCGGCACAACGCTCATTCCCTGTCCTCACTGTTCAAGAACTTTTCGGGCCTGCAATGGCCTCAACATTCATCTTCGTACTCATACTTGATGAAAAAAAAGTGTTCATCATCATCTTGATGGACAACACACACACATAATATTTGTTACTCATATTTCTTTATCATCCACTAAGTTACTTGCATTTATTGTTGTATTTAGTTGTTATAAAAGATTTACATAACCAAAACGTGTTGTTCCACACATTGTAGTCTAAAATGGCGGAAGAGAGTTAACATGAGGAATTTGCAGTCTAATATGGTGGAAGAGTTAACTTAAGGAATTTGCAGTCTAAAATTGTGGAAGAGAGTTAACTTGAGGAATTTGCTGTCAAAAATGGGAGAAGAGAGTTAACGTGAGGAATTTGCTGTCAAAAATGGTGGAAGAGAGTTAACTTGAGGAATTTGCAGTCTAATGTAATAGGTTGGAAACCTACTGTTTAGCAGCTGAACGATTTTATTTAATCTGGTTTTAAAATTATCAAGAGGAGACATAAACAGCTTTTAGTCTTAGACAGTGAGATGGGAAAAAATCTGGCCACTGGGTATACAAAGGAACTGACTCAGAATTTGGCTATTTAGCTGTAGCTCTATGGTCAGACGCCCTGTTTGTCGTTGTTGACTGTACTTAGTCTCAACGCACAGGTGTGTCAGATTGGACCGGCTGAGCGACTCTAGATTAGCTCGTGTTTGCGATAATGGTACGTTTCTTATGGTTAGATGGTTTTAGAATTGATTTTCATTGTGCATCTTTGCTAGGAGATAGTTTGGTGGCAGGTCGCTATATGTTTTTTTTTTTTTTTTTTTGGCATATTGAAGCTTAACGCACATGTTAAATATGTTTCGGGTTTTGCCATGGTTGAGATAGTCTCGCTGAGCGTATAGTGTCATTATCATATCTCCTGGTTGATTATCGTTAATGGATTATGTGTGAAGTATACGTTAATTCTATGTTACGTTAAATAAAATAAACAGATGTTCAATGTAGTAATCATAGTTCCAGTTGTTTTCCGTTCAGCTAAGGATTTGCAGTTAGTGTGCCTAGTTTAGTTTATTTGTTGCTTGTCTGATCTAGACTTTACACAGAAGATTTCTTGTCAGGTTGAGATACTATTGATCTCAGCCACGCCTAAACGAACTTTCTCTCTTTTTTTTTTCTTGTTACTGAGGCAGATTAAGGTTGGGTTTTGGCTTCCACCCGCCACGTGACATTGTTAGATCTCTTGTAGGTTCGGAGTCGGGGAGATTTCAAGGAGTAATTTTCCAAATTATCCTTTATAGTTATCTCTTCTCTTTCCTCCAATACAAGTTAACCCCCTCTGCTTTGCTTCTAGTACACTAAAATGGTGGAAGAGACTTAACTTGAGGAATATGCAATCTAAAATGGTGGAAGAGAGTTAACGTAAGGAATTTGCAGTCAAAAAATGTTAGAAGAGAAATAACGTTAGGAATTCCTTTTCACGCTCTGCAACACATTGTTCATTGTTTGTTTTTGAAATCATCTTCATCTCACATCGGACATGACCATAGGTACTCCGATCTCTGCCTGACACAAAG